TTGGTATCTACCATTATTGCACCCGATGTGGTGATTTTTGTGAATTTTATCATGAAGGTCACAACAACGATTCATTAATGCTGCGTCAGCTTAATCCAACGCTAACGTGGTCGCCTGAACAGTCGTAGGAACACCGCGTTCATCTACCAAACCCGTTCTTGTTCACACGCACTCACAGGGGAAGAGCGACACACTGCATCTAAAAATAACAGAATAATTGCTCCTGCAGCTCTAAAAGGCTGTCATCATCATCACCAGCAGCTTGGATGTTGTGCTCCACACTAACAGCAGCATTAACAGCCTCTCGGTCGTCATTTAGCAGTTTTAAACTGATTTATTCGTCCCCACGTCTCAGCTTGCTGCGAGAACACGTGCACAGAGATGCTCTGACTCAGTGAAAGAAACTCCAAATAAAAATGATTCAACTACAGACGGCAAACATAAAGGTAAAAGTCATTCTTTACTTGAATAAATCTGCTACGATGCTGACAGAGTTCTGTTATCTGACAGCTGGACTCCCTGATTCTGTGCTATGACTGTGTTTGTGTTTCATATGTTGTGTCATTCTCTCCGATCACCAGTGGAAGATATGCAGCTGTCCACAGGTCTCTGAGAAAACAACCCTCAGCCTTCGTCATGTAGAACCTCACTGAACACTTTCACTTGTTTGAAGACTTGTTAAAGAAAACATGAGAGAAAAGAGAGAAAAAAAGAGATAAAACATCATGAAACTGAAGCTGTCAGCCTGTGCACTTGCAGTCTGCTTCAGTTTGCAGATTCAGCCCTTACTCATCACATCCACACGACAGATGTGTGATATGAGCCCATTAAGAAAAAGGAGAAAAAGTGGAAATACTGTTTTGAGGGGGAAAATGTTGAAATGTGGAAATGTTGCTTCAAGCCAAACAACTGCCACAGCTCCTCTCTGCCTCGGGTAGATATTGTGTGGCTTCAAAACACCAAGACGGCGAGAACAAAACACTTTATAGAGCCAGTGGGCGAGGACATGATCAGTGAGGACGGCTGTTGTTCAGATGTTCCACTGTTAATATGTCTGTTTTTACATTTATGTCTAGATTGGAAATCAGGGTGAAATCACTGCTGTTAGGATGCCTTATTATGAGGTGAAGCACACAACGTAATGTTAAAACTCACACAATTCAGACAGGCTCATGTGAAAAATCACAACAGTTCGTCCCGACAACATTTCGTCTTACAGTAGATCAAGTTTATCTGCTCTTACTTCCTTGCCAAGGTCTTCTCTGATAACCTGCTGGATCTCCTCCATGCTGCTCTCAGGAGCTCGGCTGTGGAGCACCTTTAGCGTAGATGTGTACTCCTCGGGCAGCAGGTAGTCCAGAGCACCGAGGTGCTGGCCCACTTTGATAAAAGTGCCCCGGTTGGCACAGCACAAGTCTCGAAGACGCTCTGCCGATCGCCTGTGCACCTGCAGGAGGCGACAGAAGACAGACAGCTGATTAAAATGTATCAAGGTTGTTGCAGAAACGAAGACTTTCAGGGACAATGAAAGGCTAAAAGTGGAGCTAAACACTGTTCGATGTGTGGCACGGCACTTAGTCCCAGTGCTGTAAAATGTTACTGTACCAGTAAACTTGTTAAAGAGACGAGGTTAAAGGCTGAAGCGCGTCTTTGGGAGCACTGACAAACTGGAGATCATGACAACTGTGGCACAGCAGACAAACTATTCCTTTTGTTCATGTTGTCATCGTTGTGTTGAAACAGCACAAAAAGCTATCGAGTACATTTTGTTTTTACTGCTGGGTGGTTTGAATCATGACATGAAGTGTTTACATAAAATACTGCTATTTGTAAAAATATATTAAAACCAGAGATGGGCAGTAACACGTTACTTGTAACGTGTTACTGTAATCCGATTACTTTTTTCAAGTAACGAGTAAAGTAAGGGATTACTATCGCAAAAACAGTAATTAGATTACCGTTACTTTCCCGTAGGAACGCTGCGTTACTGCGTTACTAGAACCGTGATTTTTTTGCGAGAATGTCTCATGACAGTGACGTAAGCGAGTGCGACGTTCGTGACAACAGCTGTGTGCAGATCAACAATGGATCATATATCGAGTGCAGAGAGAGTATGAGCGTGCAGCGTTTAAAGCGTGGAAGTACTGACCTTACTTTGAGTTTGATTCCATAAAAAGTGACAAAAACATTAGTGTCCGTTGTGCGTGGGAAGAAAACTTCTTTTTACAGAGAAAAAACCCTAAACTTCCAAACAAGCACCGAGTAGCTACGACGTAATGGGAAACTCACAGAGAAACTCGCGGATTCTTCCACTGACCGCTGCACACCTGCACCAGCGTAACCCTCCGCCTACCCCACTCCTGCTTTACAGGTGAAAATAGAGCAACAGGACCGCTAGTCTTTGACTTTATTTATTTTCTGCTGTGTTTTACTTGCATCTATTTGAAAGACTGAGTGTAAACACACAAAATTATTTTATGTGCTGGAATGTGCAGAAAATAGGTTTAAATATTAAACTAATGTCTTCCAGTCAGAGAATGTTGCAGATAATTAAATGTTTGCTTGATGCATAAAGTTAAAAGATTAAAACTAATAAAACAAGTTTTAAAAAGAGACTTTTCCATTTGATTACATTTTGTATGATGATTATGTAGAAAAAGTAGAATTGGGCTGAAAGATCTATCACTTTATCACCTATTCAGGCTGTAAATCGTGTTTTTAAAAAGGAACTAAGTAACTAAGTAATTACTTTTGAAAATAAGTAATCAGTAAAGTAACGGGATTACTTTTTGGGGGAAGTAATCAGTAATTAGTTACTGATTACTTTTTTCAAGTAACTTGACCAACACTGATTAAAACATTCAGCTGTTCGATCATTAATTTATATGACAATGGTGTTCAGACTTATCTCTATCAATCCTTTACAAATTTCTACACACACAACCACAGAGAGAATCTACTGCAATAGAAATAAATCTACTGATGATCTATTTGCTGAAAATGCAACAAATCAAATTTAGGATACGAGTCAGAGGCCTGAGATGGACTACATTAGACTTCATTACTACTTTAGTTCACTGAGCTTTGCGGGTATTTGTTTACTCACAGCTGTCGTAAGGTCCCACCGTAGGACTTCAGTCAGGTGTGAACATTAAGTCTCTGTGCCCCCCCCCCAGGTTTTGACTTCTGCTGTTATTTATCACTCGTTTCTTTTCTTCATTGTTCGTTACCCAGTCTCTTTTCACCTGTGCCTCCTTTTCCCGAGCTCCCTCATTGCCCTCTAGTGTGGATATAGAGCATCTTCCTCTCAACCCTTGTCACAGCGTGTTTTGCTCCTCGTGTCTCAGTCTGATTTGTTACTGGACGGATTTCAGCAGTGTTGAGTGTCTTTTAGTGTCATGTAACTCATTTAGACATCTAGGAAACTTCAAACTGTGTGGTACAAGGAACAGCTGTGACTGGCACCACTGTGTGGTACCGTGATGTCATAACTGTCCACGTCACAGAGCAGGTCAGTGGATGCACAGTGTGCAGAGTCATTCCCTACAGAGCTGCAAACTTCATGAGGTCTTGAGATTAGCTCTACAACAGTGCACAGCCAGCTTCATGACCTGAGCTTTCATGGCTGAGTAGCTGCATCCAAGCTGCACAAGGCGATGCAGTGTAAAGCACACCACAACTAGACTGTAGTGTAAACATGTTCTCTCAAGTGATGATTGATGGTTCTCTGTGTGGCGATGGACAGGTCAGAGTTTGGAGGTTGCCAGATGTGGAGTTTCTCAGGAGATGGGCTCTGTTCCAGTGAAAGGAAGACGCTGCAGCACGAATGCGCTTCTGGAAGGATGGTCAGAAATTCCCATTAACTCATTACCAAACCAGAAGGCTTGAAGCTATTACAGCTGACAATTACAACCTTAGGAATAAATAACAGGATGTCACTCATGTTCATATACTTGTGAAGGCAGATACATTTTTGGCCACATAGTGCATTTAATTCTTGTTTACAGAGCTTCAGAGTCAGAGATTCGTGTTTTGGTTTTACTTCTGAAAGAAAAATGAACCAATGTCAACACAAAGGTCCTGCAAAAACAACAGGAATCATATTAATACATGTATCTTGAAACTGCAGCTAAAATATAACAAAACAGTTACGAACAAACAGACTACAACATACATATTTTATATGTCTATAAAATCTAAATGAAAAATAGCAATAAAAACAAATGACCCCCTGAGCATCTAGAAAGCATCTCCTGTGCTCTGGTCTCGACGCGTCTGCATATCTGTGCTGGCAGTCCCGTCTGTCCCATTTGAACCAGCTGGAAGTGATAATGCTTACAGAGCTCGTCTCCTGAGGCCAGTGCAAATAAAAAGGCGTGAAATTAGCTCCCCTTAACCTCTCTAACCTCCAGCAGGCACACATGAAAACACTGCAGGGCGCACACACATTCAGCCACGCAGCACGCTCCCACAGGACCGTTTGACATGAGTGTCATCTGGACGATGATGACAAAGCAATGACAGGAACAAGTCACCAGAGATTACCAGATGAGTCTTTCTGCTTAGCCATGCACCAGAACGCCTTTTTATAACGAGCGCCATCACCAGAGCCACACTGTTAATGCAAGTTTGCAGTTATACATTTTATTTATATACATTACTTATTCTGCAGGACTTTCATACTAAAATCAGCACAAATTCTATCAAGACAGCACAACAGCAGCACTAAATTCATATCCAAGACTATATGCAGTAAAAAGCTTTTAGTTCTAATATTTGGAGAAAAGTAATAAAAAGAAGACGTTTTGGGGGAAATGCTGCTTTCAAATGTAGCCACATAACAGAGAGGTTGAAAAACAAAAAGCCTCGTGCCATTAAAGAATTAGAAAATAAACAAAATTATTTTAAATGAAAAACTGTTATTAAAAAAAATTAAATTTCTAAATTTTAGCCTTTTTCCTTTGGCTTCAGTGAGAAATGATTTCTTTTGTTTTAATAAGGCTGCAACGACTCCTGGAGTTATTGGAATAACTGGATTATATTATCATTGTTTCCTTAGATGCTGACGCACCTGTGAAACGCCACGGCAGACACGGAGACATTTACACAGTCCCGCTGCCAGCCGTACTCACATCAACACAACAAACCCCAACAAAGACCATATTTATGTCTGGCTTTTGTTATTTTACTTTTGTACAATATTTTTTGGAATTTAAGAGAAAATATTATCTGAATAAAGTTGTATTAATATCTTAAAAATATAAAAAGAAAAGATTTTTTCCTGCAGGCCAATAAAAATGTACTCGGGCTACTGACCCGGGGCACTGAATTATTATTAACATTAATTATTAACATCTACACCATTATAACATCTGTTTCTGCATCAAAGCACAGAAATCATAATGTTGATATGCTCACTTTTCTTCATTACAGTCACCACCTCTTTAAAAGGCTACCAACACACACTCATTAACCCTTTAAGACCTACCATAGAACCAAGTCCGCCAGAACTTATATTATATGTTTACATGCTGTGGAGCCATTTTTGGGAGCATTTCAAGTTGCTATACATCAATACAACCATTA